GCATGGTGGCGGGCGCCTGTAGTCCCAGCTACTCAGGAGGCTGAGGCCAGGAGAATGGCATGAACCCAGGAGGAGGAGCTTGCAGTGAGCTGAGATCCGGCCACTGCACTCCAGCCTGGGCGACAGAGCGAGACTCTGTCTCAAAAAAAAAAAAAAAAAAAAAAAGGAAGCAAACAAATGGCTTCTAGTAGGGCCTTGACTGTTAGTGACTCGTGAGTGCTATCAAAAATGTATCCAGTTCCAGGAAAATCCAACTACAAGTGAGCAGTTGGTGTTCAAAGACTATTTAAGAATATATGGGCCGGGCGCGGTGGCTCAAGCCTGTAATCCCAGCACTTTGGGAGGCCGAGACGGGCGGATCACGAGGTCAGGAGATCGAGACCATCCTGGCTAACACGGTGAAACCCCATCTCTACTAAAAAAATACAAAAAACTAGCCGGGCGAGGTGGTGGGCGCCTGTAGTCCCAGCTACTCGGGAGGCTGAGGCAGGAGAATGGCGTGAACCCGGGAGGCGGAGCTTGCAGTGAGCTGAGATCCGGCCACTGCACCCCAGCCTGGGCGACAGAGCGAGACTCTGTCTCAAAAAAAAAAAAAACAAAAAAAAAAAAAAAAAAAAAGAATATATGCACATCTTGTGAACACTAATAGCAGGTCAATATTGCCAAAAAACGCAGACAGAGTAGTGGGAAAACATGGGTGTAAGGTGAAGGCCAGTGGTGAGGATGGCAAGGGGCTAACTAACTAGAAATGATATGTCTTCGTGTCAACAACAGGGAAGGACAGATATAAACGCTGTGTGGCCACTGGCCCTGGAAACAAACACTGATGTGAACAGTTAACGTTGACAGTTCTGAACCCAGCTTTGACATCATGCCCTTCCCCGATATCCACTCACCATGTCTAAGTCCCCTCTGGGCCTCTCTTTCTGTGGCTGAAGTCATATCCACCTGGTCATACACCCAAGGCTCTTCTGCTTGCTCTAGTTTAATGACTGCACGTGATCTAGAAAATGCAATTCCTAAGAGAAAGTCAGAACAGGTGAGCAGCCAGCACAAGTCCGTGGCAACCCACCCTATGATGGACTACAGGTAAGAAAAAGAACCTGGGAGTTGTGCAGGAATAGACCAAAGGTCCCTGTAAGTGACTATGTAAGTGCCTATAACTCCTGACAAGGTCAGGCCTTAGAAAATGTCACCTGGGCTGGGCGCAGTGGCTCACGCCTGTAATCCAACACTTTCAGAGGTCAAGTCAGGGGATTACTTGAGCTCAGGAGTTCAAGACGAGCCTGGGCAACATGGCAAATCCCCATCTCTACAAAAAAATTAGCTGGGCGTGGTGGTGCGTGCCTGTAGTCCCAACTATTCAGGAGGCTGAGGTGAGAGGATGGCTTAAGCCTGGGAGGTAGAGGTTGCAATGAGCTGAGATCGTGCCACTGCACTCCAGCTTGGGCAACAGAGCCAAACCCTGACTCAAAAAAAAAAAAAAAAGAAAAAAAGAAAATGTCACCTGCAGAAAGGGGGCAGAACCTTGGGCACAGAGGCATCATAATTTTGGACAGAGTCACCAGTACAGAAAGTAAACAGACCTAGTGAGATCCAATGGGCAAACCACAAGTCTCATGACCCCAAACCCTTGGCTGCATGGCTTCAGGACTGCTCAGCAAGTAGGGAGGACACTCCATACAGCTTAGCCCTGGCACCCTGAGCACCTGCTCCAGAAAACTGGTGAAGGAAGCAGTGCTCATGATCCGACCATGGGAAGAACAGAGTGGTAAATGGAGAAAAGCATGAGGACCTTACCCAGTGAGGCTAAAAGTGCAAAGTTCTCCAGCATCACATCATGGTACAAAAGTCTCTGAGCATCATCAAGAAGCTCCCATTCTTCCCAAGAGAAGTATACAAACACATCCTCGAAGACCACACAGCCCTGCAACAAAAGGGACAGGAAGGGTCATAAAAAGTCTCTTGACCCATGATCCCCAGTCTGCCTACCCACAACATCCTGCTAACTGACCTCCCAGGTTCCCAAGTCAGAGATACCAGGTGCTGGTACCACTGGTTCTCACTCTCTCCTGATTACCCCAGAAATCACTGTTAGCCCACCGCAACAACAGGCAGGCTAGCAGATAAATGCCATTTACACTCTGAGCCAGCCAACTCCCCTGAGGTACCCAAGAGCACAAATCCCAGGTATGAACCTAGGCTCATTTTTCTCAGTTAAGCCCCAAGTCACAGGACCATCAGCTCACACTTCCTCCACTCATACACATCACTCTCTGGACTACATCTCCCTCACATCTCCAGCTTTCCCACCACCCTACTGGCCCACCATATCTCCCTGGACTCCCCAGTGTCACTCTACACATAGCATTAAGAATGCTTGCCAAGGGCGGATCACAAGATCAAACCCCATCTCTACTTAAAAAAAAAAAAAATTAGCTGGGCATGGTGGTGTGTGCCTGTAGTCCCAGCTACTTGAGAGACTGAGGCAGGAGAACTGTTTGAACCTGGGAGGCAGAGGCTGCAGTGAGCCGAGATCATGCTACTATACTTCAGTCTGGTGACAGAGCGAGACTCCATCTCAAAAAAAAAAAAAAGTGTTTGCCAACAATCAGTATCCCATCTTGCCCCAAACCACCAATGGCCCCATTGCCAAGGAAAGCCCTATTGTTGCTCTGAAAGCCTCCCAATCTGGCCTTGTTCCTTTTTTCAATCACAGGCACCTCAAACCACATGAAGATCTCAGGTATCCTCAACCCTCTTCCATTTCTTTGTTGTACATTGTACCACTGCTTGATATGGATTGGATGTGTATCCCCTACAAATCTCATGTTGAAATGCAATCCCTAGTGCTGGAGGCCCAGAGAAGCCAAAAGACTGGACACCCCTGATTTAAAGTGAGAGATGTGTAACTACTCCTTTAACTTGAACTCTTAGAGCCCACTATAGGGTTATTAACTGATCTGATTTCAATATTGCCGTGCATCAGGGAATAGGAAGGAACACTTGAAGAGAGGGAGAAGGATGGGGATCAGCTGGTCAGTGAGGCAGTCAGAAGACACACAATATTTAACAATTAAGCCTGCCCGGCCGGGCGCGGTGGCTCAAGCCTGTAATCCCAGCACTTTGGGAGGCCGAGACGGGCGGATCACAAGGTCAGGAGATCGAGACCAGCCTGACTAACACGGTGAAACCCCGTCTCTACTAAAAAAATACAAAAAACTAGCCGGGCGAGGTGGTGGGTGCCTGTAGTCCCAGCTACTCGGGAGGCTGAGGCAGGAGAATGGCGTAGACCCGGGAAGCGGAGCTTGCAGTGAGCTGAGATCCGGCCACTGCACTCCAGCCTGGGTGACAGAGCAAGACTCCGTCTCAAAAAAAAAAAATAAATAAATAAATAATAAAAAAAAAAGGCCTGCCCATCTCGTATAGGTGTGGCTCGTGGTGCCACATGATGGCCCAAAACAATTACAATAGTAACACCAAAGATCACTGATCACAGATCACAACAACAGGTATAATAAGGATGAAAATGTTTGAAATATTGCAAGAATTGCCAATGTATGACTTCAGGGATGCCACAAACCTTCAACTTGTAAAAACACAGTATCTGCAAAGTGTGATAGAGTGAAGCACAGTAAGACAAGGTACGCCAGTATAGGGAATGTGAGCAGAAACATTTCCTGTGTTAGAAAAATTTACCTTAGAGTAAACCTTTGGTAAGAACTTGCTGGCAGGGCATGGTGGCTAACACTTGTAATCCCAGCACTCTGGGAGACCAGCCAGGCCAACATAGCAAAACCCCGTCTCTACTCAAAATACAAAAATTATTGTACACCCGCCAGGGCATGGAAGCAGGTACCTGTCATTCCAGCTACTCGGGAGGCTGAGGTAGGAAAATCATTTGAACCTAGGAGGTGAAGGTTGGAGTGAGTTGAGATCATGCCATTGCACTCCAGCCTGGGCAACAAAAGCAAAACTCCATCTCAAAAAAAAAAAAAAAACCAGACCTTGCTGTGAGGCAGATGCCCCCAGTGAGCCTGTCTTTCTTGGGAAATGTATTTAGTCAAAAGAGCTAATGGATGGTCAGGCACGGTGGCTCACACCAGTAATCCCAGCACTTTGGGAGGCCGAGGTGGGCAGATCACTTGAGGTCAGGAGTTCGAGACCAGCCTGGCCAATATGGTGAAACCTCGTCTCCACTAAAAATATAAAAATTAGCTGGGCATGGTGGCACGCACATGTAATTACAGCGACTCCAGAGGCTGAGAATAGCTTGAACAGGAGGCAGAGGTTGCAGTAAGCTGAAATCACACAGCTACACTTCAGCCTGGGTGACAGAATGAGACTCTGCCTGAAAAACAAAAAAAAAAACGGTTCTAAAGGAGGTTGAGACAATCTATTGCATGGCATTTAAGGTATTTTGTGACTTTGGCAACACTGAGTGAAGCAGGCTCATTCCCTGCACTGAAGGAACTTATCAGTGTGCGTTTCTCTTAGTTCAGGTGGTTCAAAAGTGAGGGTGAGAGAGGGGATGTCAGCAACATGGCGGAATATGAAGCTCCTGACTCTTTCCACCCACGGACACATGAAGTACACGCCTATTTACAGACCATTCCCTCTGAAAGTGAGAAACTAGTTGAGAGACTGCTGATCACCAGGCAACGGAGAAAACATCTGTCTTAAACAGGTAAGAAAAGCTGAGGAACACTCAACCATGGACCCTACTGTGGGCACTGTTCATACAACAGAGAAAGGAATCCCCAACACACACCTTCTCCTGTGAAGAGGATGGTGTGGACCTCACATATAGTTCCTAACTCTAAGGTTATCCATGATTCGGCTCTTAATTCACCAACTCTAGAGAGCTAAGGGGAGGAGACATCAGCACCTCTGTACTACTCACAGGGAATAAAGGCCCTGGAAGTGCTAATGTGCCTATATCGAACTACTGCTTTTTTCCTGTGGTCTCTACAGACCACAGTCCACACAAGTGTCCCAACTTGTAATTCTTCTCTCCGAAGAACTGCACTCTAAACCTCCTGGCTCTGTGAACAGAGAAGACTGGAATACACATCTTTCTAGATCACAGAAAAAAGTTTGGCCATTTGCCGGGCGCCGTGGCTCACACCTGTAATCCCAGCACTTTGGGAGGCCGAGGCAGGCAGATCACCTGTGGTCGGGAGATCAAGACCATCCTGGTTAACGTGGTGAAACCCCGTCTCTATTAAACATACAAAAAATTAACTGGGCATGATGGCACGTGCTTGTAATCCCAGCTACTCGGGAGGCTGAGGCAGGAGAATTGCTTGAACCTGGGAGACAGAGGTTGCAGTGAGCCGAGACGGTGCCATTGCACTCCAGCCTGGGCAACAAGAACGAAACTCCATCTCAAAAAACAAACAAACAAAAAAAGTGGCAGTTTGATATGGGCACTCAAGCACTTCCAGGGTCTTCATGCCCTGTAAGTAGTGCAGAGAAGGGGCTTTAAAAAAACAGCCCTTGTTTCTCCCCAGAAGAGGTTTATGCCATGCAGAGAGTGCTGCATCTTTTACAGTTACCTCCCGAAGGGCTCCATCCTAAACCTCTTACCTCTGAGAGCAGAAGGAACTAGGCAAGTCTTCCTGGATCACAGAACAAATAGGCAGAATTAAATGGGCATGAAAATACTTCTAGGAGCTACACCTCCTTGGAGCACTGCAAAAAAGGGGCAGGAATGTGCACCTCCAATTTACTCTCCAGAAGGGGCTTATAGCACACACTTCTAGTGGCTACTTAACAGTCTGGCTTCTACCAAATTTATATCAGGGAGCTGATAGGGCAAATAAAACAGCCAGAGCCGGCCGGGCGCGGTGGCTCAAGCCTGTAATTCCAGCACTTTGGGAGGCCGAGACGGGCGGATCACGAGGTCAGGAGATCGAGACCATCCTGGCGAACACGGTGAAACCCCGTCTCTACTAAAAAAATACAAAAAACTAGCCGGGCGAGGTGGTGGGCGCCTGTAGTCCCAGCTACTCGGGAGGCTGAGGCAGGAGAATGGCGTGAGCCCGGGAGGCGGAGGTTGCAGTGAGCCGAGATCGCGCCACTGCACTCTAGCCTGGGCGACAGAGCGAGACTCTGTCTCAAACAAAAACAAACAAACAAAAAACAGCCAGAGCCAAAGCATGGCACTTCATGAGGCTTCCATATGGCTCAATGATAAAATCCAGGCCTACTCATTCTTCCTTTGGCCATGCACTGAGTATCACAAGTTCTGTAACTCCCACCCGAGACTGTCTCCTTAAAAACTACTCTGGAAGTCAATGGGGCTTTTATATTTCTGAGTGGCCCTAAACTACAGAAAATAAAAAGGTGGATACACAATGAGTCTACTTCCAGAGGCTATCTCCCGAGAATCAGAGGATGCTGCCCAAACATGACTTTAGGCATTTAGTCCTCTAACTAACTTAATGCAGGCAGCAGGAGATAAATACCCATGCTCAGCTGCATCATGAAAACAGAAGAAACCAGAACACATTCAACACCTTCAACACATCCCAGCGACATCAAGAGAGTCTGGTTCCTACCTTTCTGGCCTCAGGATAATGACAGAATGTAGTACATCCTAAGTTCTAGAGAGTTACCAAAAACAGAGACAGCATTCTGGACAAATACAAAGATTTGAGAAGCACCTTAAATCTTTGGCCAGATGGATTGGTGAGATCCTTCTACTACACTTGGCAAGACTGGGAGAGGTAGTGAACTTTTTTTTTTTTTTTTAAATGGGGTCTCAGCCGAGCGTGTGGCTCACGCCTGTGATCCCAGCACTTTGGGAGGCTGAGGCGGGTGGATCTCCTGAGGTCAGGAGTTCAAGACCACCCTGGCCAACATCGTGAAACCCCGTCTCTACTAAAAATAAAAACAAATTAGCCAAGCATGGTGGCGGATGCCTGTAATTCCAGCTACTCACGAGGCAGAGACAGAACTGCTTGAACCCGGGCGGCAGAGGTTGCACCGAGCCAAGATCGTGCCACTGCACTCTAGCCTGGGCAACATAGTGAAACCCCATCTCTACTAAAAATGCAAAAATTAACTGGGTGTGGTGGCAGGCACCTGTAATCCCAGCTACTCAGGAGGCTAAGGTAGGAGAATTGCTTGAACCAGGAGACGGAGGTTGCAGTGAGCCGAGATCGCGCCACTGCACTCCAGCCTGGGTGACAAGGGCGAGACTCCATGTCAAAAAAAAAAAAAAAAACCCTTGGCCAAGGCATGGTGGCTCACTCCTGTAATCCCAGCACTTTGGGAGGCCAAGGGGAGTGGATCACCTGAGGTCAGGAGTTTGAGACCAGCCTGGCCAGCATGGTGAAACTCCATCGCTACTAAAATACAAAAATTAGCTGGGCATGGTGGTGCATGCCTGTAATCCCACCTACCGGGAAAACTGAGGCAGGAGAATCACTTGAATCCAGGAGGCGGAGGCTGCAGTGAGCTGAGATCGCACAACTGCACTCCAGCCTGGGTGACAGAGGGAGACTCCATCTCAAAACAAACAAACAAACAAACAAATAAATAAATAAATAAATAAAATAAAATAAAACTAAAGCCAACTGCAGTGGCTCACACCTGTAATCCCAACCCTTTGGAAGGCTGGGGCCGGTGGATCAGTTGAGGTCAGGAGTTCGAGATCTCCTGGGCCAACATGGCAAATGTCCCCCTCCCCGCATCTTTACTATAAATACTAAAATTAGCCAGGGGTGGTTGTGGGCTCCTGTAATCTCAGCTACTCAGGAAGCTGCGGCAGGAGAATCTCTTGAACCCGGGAGGTACAGGTTGCAACCAATGCATCCCACCCTGGGTGACAGAGTGAGACTTGGTCTCAAAAAAAATAAAAATAATAAACTAAAAGAAAACACACAAAATGAGGGTGAGATAATCAGATAGTAGCAAATTTATGGCACACCACACATTGTTGCCATCCCAGGCCAAACTCCTGATACCCTACAGCTCTCTCCTTCTACAAACACTGAAAAGAACCTTTTCAAATGCCAGGACCCTTCTCTTCTGGGGGGAGTCTCAAGAATGCCCACTCCCTTTTCCCTGTCCTCCAGTCCCAGCCTTCTCATCTCTTACCCCAGAGATCATCTGAAATAACATACTTAAGACTGCCTCACTTAAATCTGACCTCCTGGCCTTGACCTAGTCCAGACCACTCCCTTTACCCCAAAGACATTTTAAGCCCAGTCCCTTCCCCACAATTTCACACCTTCCTCTCTAGTTGCCTAAGTGAGGACGCCTCCACTCTGAGACATATCAGAGTCACCATTCCAAAATTCAAACGTTCATGGAAAAACACAACAAAAACACCTGGCTCTTTCATGCCTTACTTTCAATCATAGCTGCATATGCTGGAGCAGAAAATCCTGCTGGTTTCATATTTAAAACCTACCCAGAATATGATCACGTCTACCTACTCACCTGCCATTACTCTCAGTACATCCACCACCAAAGCATTCCTGGAATCCACTGCAGCCGTCTCCTTACCGGTCTCCTAGTATCCATCCTCACAGTCCCCACCCCGAACTAATGTTCTCCCCTGAGCAAATTTCGAGACACTTAAAATCCCAGCTAAGATCACGTCCTTCTATTCAAAACCCTCAGGTAATCTCAACGCCCTCAGAATGAAGGGACTTCTCAGCCTGCCATTCCAGGCACAGTTCCTCAAACTCTGCTCCGTGTTGATGAGAACACTGTCTCCCAAATGTCTGGGGATCAGCAGCACCCCCGAGCCTTTACCTGCGACGTCCCCTCCGCCCGTAACTCTCCCACACCCCCCCCCACACCGAGATAGGACCCCGCCCAAGAGTGCGTCGCTGTCCTGGGACACAGGGGCTGCAGGAAGTTTACGATTCGGAGTCGGAGAAAGAGTGGCTGAGACCCGGGAGGATGCAGCACCCACCCGCGCGGAGTCCGTTAGCTCCGCCACAGGACCGTGGGCGCGGACAGCTGCCGGGAGCGGCAGGCGTCTCGATCGGGGACGCAGGTACTTCCATCCCCGTAGAGCTTCGGACGCGTCTCGGGACGCTGGGGACAACATCTCCGTGCTTTCCCGATACCTCCACCTGCAGTCCACCCAAGCGTTACAGAGACCCAGCCAGACGCAGCCTGACAGAAACAAACAAAATGGCCGTTAGGAGGAGGAGCCGGAAGTCCCGCCCACGCACCCTCCGCACGCACTGAAACACCCCTCTCTTGGGCCCTCATTGGATATGCAACGTATAGGTTTGTGGGTAGTGTAGTTCCCACGGAGCCATCCTTCAAGGCGGAGGATTCTGGCCTGGCACTGGGGCCAAGGTGTTTGGGGAAGGTAACCCGAGTTTCAAAGGACTGGCAGGACTTCCGTCCTTTTTTTTTTTTTTGAGGCGCAGTCTCGCTCTGTCTCGCAGGCTGCAGTGCAGTGGCGCGTTCTCGGCTCACTGCAACCTCCGCCTCCGGGTTCAAGCGATTTTCCTGCCTTACCCTCCTGAGTAGCTGGGACTACAGGGGCCCGCCACCACGCCCGGGTAATTTTAGTACTTTTAGTAGAGACGGAATTTCACCACATTGGCCAGGCTGTACTCCCGACCTTGTGATCCGCCTGCTTCGGTCTCCTAAAGTGCTGGGATTACGGGAGTGAGCCACGGCGTCCGGCCTGACTTCCGTCCTCTTAAAAGGCCTGGACCTAGACTCCCCGGAGGGTAGTCTGCACTGATCGCAGAAATGTGGAGACATTTCAGATGTTCCCCAAAGCTGCAAAACTAAATAGACAAACCACAACACAATGTCTCTTTGCCTACACTCATAGCTAGGAGCTAATAACTATTATCTTGTTGCTCTGCAAGTACGTGTGCACTCAAGCTTTACGGGAACTTTTTTTTTTTTTTTTTTTTTTGAGAAGGAGTCTAGCTCTGTCGCCCAGGCTGGAGTGCAGTGGCCGAATCTCAGCTCACTGCAAGCTCCGCCTCCCGGGTTTAGGCCATTCTCCTGCCTCAGCCTCCCGAGTAGCTGGGACTACAGGCGCCTGCCACCTCGCCCGGCTAGTTTTTTGTATTTTTTAGTAGAGACGGGGTTTCACCAAGTTAGCCAGGATGGTCTCGATCTCCTGACCTCGTGATCCGCCCGTCTCCGCCTCCCAAAGTGCTGGGATTACAGGCTTGAGCCACCGCGCCCGGCCAACTTTACGGGAACTTTTGTGAGCTTCAGTTTGGTCAGAGAGGGAAGAGAAAATACTCCAAACAAGGCCTTGCAGTGGAAGAAGGAAGAGAGATGATGTGGAGTCTCCCTGAAACCAGTGGACAGATTTCCTCAGAAAACTCTTCCTGCCTAGGTAATCGGTGAGTGTATCCACCACTGCAAAACACAGTGCAATTACCATTTAACCTGTCGTTGTAGGTACGGTGTCTGTATTGGGAGGTGAGATTATCCCTGGGGGGAAAAAATCTGAAAGCTATTAATAATGATTCTGTAGTTATTTGAAGATAATGAAAGACATTACTCTGAGGAATTATCTGTGATAGATGGACAAAGTTAAGATCTCAGTAAAGTTTGAGCCTGAATACTGAAGTATGAAAAGTGAAAGAATGATGTTAAGCACGTGGTTGTGTTGGGATCTTGACCACACTTTGTCCACAGACTGCGACTCTTTTTTCCTGAAAATGCTGAGCAGTTGTGAAGTTGTGCTGTCTTGATAATTCCTTGTTAAAATATACATCCAAGAAACACCTACGAGCTCTGAGTAGGTGCTTTTCAGATGTATTAGTAGTGTGAGAGACATCACCAATAAAATTTCCAAGATTCTATACATACAGGACATGTCCTGCATATAATGATTTTTGTCCTGCATCACCTTTTGACTTTGTCACAATACCCTAAATGATCCGTGCTCACCTTTTTTTTTTTTTTTTTTCCAATAAACGAATACAATTTAGCAGTTAGGGCTATTTTTCCATGACAGGAACTGGCTCTTAACTCATTTAAATGGCAATATTAACTGAAAAATCATACCTCCACGAATAGAGACCTAAACAGTATCTATGACAGGGGTCCCAAAATCCCAAGCTGCAGAATGGTACTGGTCCATGGCCTGTTAGTAACCGGGCAGCACGGCAGGAGGTGAGTGCTGGCAAGCAAGCATTACCACCTACGCTCTGTCTCCTATCAGATCAGGGTGGCATTAGATTATCTTAGGAGCACAAGCCCTATTGTGAACTGTGCATGTGAGGGATCTAGGTTGCATATCCCTTGTGAGAATCTAATTAATTCCCACCTCCACCCCTTCACCCTGCATCCCCGTCTGTGAAAAAATTGTCTTCCATGAAACTGGCCCCTGGTGCCAAAAAGGTTGGGGACCACTGGTCTATGGTGTCTCTGCAGGTTTGGCTAAAGGAAGACCAATAGGTGGCACTTAGAATTTAAGGTTCTTATTTTTTCAAATTCAAGAATGGAAAAGACTGTTCTTTTGACAAAGTCCTAAACAACTAACTCCAATTAATTTGAGATAACTATGGATCAATACATATGGTCTGAAAAATCAGCCTATCTGTGACAGCCTCACTCAGGTATCACACTTTTGAAAGGTAGCAGACAAATCACACTATCAAGCTTCTGAAAATCAACCAATGACACAACCCAGTCCAGAAAGACAACCAACACTGCACTCTAGCCTGGGCAACAGAGTGAGACTCAGTCTCAAAAACAAAAAAAAAAAACCCTACAATGAGATATCATCTCACCTCAGTTAAAATGTTTCATATCCAAAAGACAGGCTATAACAAATGCTGGTGAAGATGTGGAGAAAAGGAAACCCTCATACCCTGTTGTTGGGAATGTAAATTAATACAACATTATGGGTAACAGTTTGGAGGTTCCTCAAAAAACTAAAAATAGAGCTACCATATGATCCAGCAATTTCACTACTTGATATATACACAAAAGAATGGAAATTTGAATATCAGGGAGTTATCTGCACTCCCATGTTTGTTGCAGCATCATTCACAGTAGCCAAGATTTGGTAGCAACCTAAGTGTCCATCAACTGATGAATGGATAAAGAAAATGTGGTACATATACACAATAGAATACTATTCAGCTATGAAAAACAATGAGATCCTCCAGTTATTTGCAACAACAAGGATGGAACTGGAGGTCATTATGTTAAGTGAAATAAGCCAGGCACAGAAACAAAACAAAACAAAAACAAACATTGCATACTCTCACTTATTTGTGGGATATAAAAATCGAAACAGCTGGGCACAGTAACTCACGCCTGTAATCACAGCACTTTAGGAAGCTGAGGTGGGTGGATCACGAGGTCAGGAGTTCCAGACCAGCCTGGCCAACATGGTGAAACCACTTTCTACTAAAAATACAAAAAATTAGCTGGGTGTGGTGGTGCTCGCCTGTAATCCCAGCTACTCAGAAGACTGAGGTAAGAGAATCACTTGAACCCGGGAGGCAGAGGTGGGGTGAACCTAGACTGCACCACATTACACCAGCCTGGGCAATAGAGGGAGACCCCAGCTCAAAAAAAAAAAAAAAAAAAAAAAATCAAAACAATTGACATCATGGAGATAGAGAGTAGAAGATAGTTTACCAGGGACTAGAAAGGGTAGAGTAGAGGGTAAGGATGGTTAATAAGTATTAAAAAATTAAATCGTTAGAAAGAATGAATGAGATCTACTATCTGATACCACACCAGAGTGATTATGGTCAATAATTTAATTGCACATTTTAAAATAATTAAAAGAGTATAATTGGATTGTTTGTAAAACCAAGGATAAATGCTTCCGGGGATGAAGACCCAATTTTTCATGACGTAGTTATTCATTGTATGCCCGTATCAAAACAGCTCATGTGTGCCATAAATACATACACCTAATATGTATCCACAAAAATTTTAAATTACATTTTTTTAAAAAAGAAGAATGAAATCCTCCGCAAGTCTGGCTGCTGAAACTGCCAGCTGTAATGTAAACCAGGTTTACGTAACAGCTGCTGACAAAACCTCCTGCAACTCTAAGAATACTTTTTACTCCTTGCTGTCACTTACCAATAAAAACTTGCCAGCTCCACAAGACATTAGTAGTGCCAATGACCTGTGTGTGTGTCGGGGTGTGTGTGTGTGTGTGTGTGTGTGTGTGTGAGATGGGGTCTCCATTGCCCAGGCTGGAGTGCAGTGGCGCGATCTCTGCTCACTGCAAGCTCCGCCTCCCAGGTTCACGCCATTCTCCTGCCTCAGCCTCCAGAGTAGCTGGGACTACAGGCGCCGGCCACCACACCCGGTTAATTTTTGTATTTTTAGGAGAGATGGGGTTTCACCGTGTTAGCCAGGATGGTCGAAATCTCCTGACCCCGTGATCCGCCCGCCTTGGCCTCCCAAAGTGGCACCTCTCCCACTCACTCTTTCTCTTGCTCCCTCTTCAGCCATGTGAGATGCCTGGTCCCCCTTCTCCTTTTTTTTTTTTTTTTTTGAGATGGATTCTCACTCTGTCACCCAGGCTGGAGTGCAGTGGCGCGATCTTGGCTCACTGCAACTTCCAGCTCCCAGGTTCAAGCAGTTCTCTGCCTCAGCCTCCCGAGTAGCTGGGATGACAGGCGTAGGCCACCACACCCAGCTAATTTTTGTATTTTTAGTAGAGACGGGGTTTCACTGCCTTGGTCAGGCTGGTCCTGAACTCCTGACCTAGTGATCCACCCGCCTCAGCCTCCCAAACTGCTGGGATTACAGGTGTGAGCCACCGCGCCCGGCCTCCCCCTTCTCCTAAAGCCAGGATTGTAAGCCTCCTGAGGCCTCAACAGAAGCAGATGGGAGGTCTATCCTTCCTTTACAGCCTCCAGAACTATGAGTCAATTAAACCTATTTTCTTTTAAATTACCCAGGTTCAGGTATTTCTTTTAGCAACGCAAGAATGCTTAATACACTGACTCTCATACTTTAGAATGCATGCATTTGAATTAAATAGAATGATTATTAGCTTCTGCTAACTGTAGACGCATTTTGTGTCTGAATGATCTGTTCATTTGAATTTGTCGCCTCTGGGAGCATGCTCAGTTCCAGACCCCGAAATACTATGTCTCCTAATAATTGGGTAATGAGTGCAGAAATCTGAGTCTTGCCCACTTGAGAAGGTGCAAATCCGCGCTCGGCCTTTGGACGTGGGGAGTCATTTCCCAGCGTCCCTCGCGGTGGCGCCTAGCCTTTCCTCTAGAATCCGGTGAGAGGCCCCGCCCTGCGGTTTGTGGATCCGGGAGAGCTGTATTTCCCAGAATGACCTGCGTTGGCGGCGTTTCTGTGTACGCAGCGTAACAGCTGAGGCGGGATTTTCGGCGTCCTCTTTGAGGCCGACACTTTGGCCTCCCTCCGGCTCGTTCACTCTATCCGCGATTCCCGAGCGCTGCGGCGGAATCCTGGAGACGGGACCGAGAAGGATCGTTGTCCTCGCTGCACAGTGGCGGGGCTAAGGCTTGGCGCCGCTCCGAGTGACCCGGCCAACCCTGGGATAGGGACCTCCAAGCCCGGGTCTCCGTTATTCCCAAAGTCCAATGGAGGCGGCCGCGCTGAGGGCCCAGGCTCAGGTGAGCGCTGCGGCCTCCTGGTCTCCCCCGCCCTCCCCACCCATATCCTAAAGCCCAGAGTGAGAGGGGCCTGCTCGCATCCCTGCCGTCCAGGCCCCAGAGTTGGGAACAGGAAGGCAATGGTGTTGGGGCCCCTGTTTTGTACACCTGGTGTGGTGGGCAGGGGGCAGAGCTTGAGAAATACAGGGAACCACACGTGCAAAGGCTTGGAGGCACGATTGAGCTGGGAGGATTGGGGAACCTGGGCTCCTCTTTGTCCTGTGAGGACCTGTATGAGGCAGAGTTAAGCCTGGAATAGCAGAGTAACAGTTGTACCTTTGGTGTAAGGATTCTAGAAGCCGTGGAGCTTTCGAACAAAAGGAAGGCACAGTCTACGTTAGGATTTTAAGTTTTCCAAGGGCTGTTCAGGACTAGTGGGAGTGATGAGGGAGGGCATTGAAGCACTGGGTGTTTGAACCTTTGTTCAAGGTCACACAGCTGGTAAGAAGAGACACTGAGCACTGAGGCACAGTGGGTAGGCATTCAACTAGAATTCATCTGGTTCCAGGGCTAGGCAAAGACAGGTAGGCATGAGCTCATTGAACCCCACTTGGACACATTTTTATAAGGCCTGCCTCTTCCCACAGGTTCCTGTGGCTGCAGAAGCTCTTATGGAACCAATACAGGTGAGTGGAAGGTGTCCCAGTCCCTCACTGGTCTCAACCCCCACCCACATGTTCTGAAGAACTCTTAAGTACTATTCCCCGGGTCTTTGGGTCTGAGAACACTGGGGAAACCCCAAACCGGGGTCCTAAGCTCATGTCAGATTTTCATATAGAGGTGTTCACATTTTTTCCCAACCAGTGTAAACAGGTGTGGAGGATTACATGAGGAACTAGTACCAAGACATGCAAATGCTTAGAAGTGAAACTGCATTGGGATCAGTATAGCATGCTTGCCTGAAAATTAAAATTGCTACTCTGGAGGTTTGGGTCAGGACAGGGAGAGGAGAGGGAGATCTTAACAGACTCCCTCTGGCGGCAGAATGGAGAACAGAGGGGGATGGAAGGAGGTCCTAGGAAGATCAGGGTAGATAATCCAGGTGAGGGTTAATGGACCAGAGTGTTGGTTTAGGAAAAGTAGTTAGATTCTGAATACATGTTTGAAAAGGGTGCTACTAGGTTTTCTAATTTGTACAGTGAAGTGGTAAAACAGGATTCAGGGATGACCCCAGAGTTTTCAGTCTTAGCAGCTATAGAGAAGGAAGTTCCATCATCTGTGATGGAGAATATTGTGGTATGCCTATATTCACGGGGGACCTCAGGAGCTTTGTGTGGCCATAGTAAGAGTCTGAGGTGTTTCATCCACTGAGTAGAGGTATGAAGAGGGCAACCGTACACACAGGTCTGAAAATCTCGGGGGTTCACAATAGAGACATCCATAATGTGACTACTCTGTGGACTATGGTGCGTGAACTGTGGTCATTTAGGAGGAGCAATCTTCAAGATAATGGTGAAGCTACAGAGGAACAGGAACAGAAGAGCGGGGGATGTGGGCTGGATCTCTTACTTCGGTACCTGGGTGATGGGATTAGGCTTCACAGATACAGATGAGGCACACAAGTGACCATGCAGGGAAAATGGATTGGCAGCATAGTTTGACAGGTGGCATAGAGGAAGAATGGGCATGGGATGGATCAGAGGCAAGAGAGAGAGGTATTGAGAGAAGATGACATTCAGGCCAAAGCTGGTGCTTATTCACCGCTTTATAGACGCACTTGGATTTTGTAATGACTTCAGTAGGGCCTGAGGTCACACACTATGTGGTCATCTATGAGAGTCAGTAGTCTTCCGGTGGGTGACCAGTGCAGTTGGACTTTTAGTAAGTGTTAGGTGGATAGAGGAAGGTTGTGACTGGTGAGAGGTTGGCAAGTGCAACACAGAAATGGAATAGGGCCATTGGTATCTGAAGGAACATGTGGTTCTGTGTGGCAAAGTCTCAGATAAGGAGTAGGGCCAGCCTGGGAGCAGTGGTTTACAGCTGTAATCACAGTACTTTGAGAGGCCATTGCAGGTGGATCATGAGGTCAGGAGTTCGAGACCAGCCTGACTAACGTACTGAAACCCTGTCTCTACTAAAAATACAAAAGTTAGCCAGGCTTGGTGGTGCGCGCCTGTAGTCCCAACTGCTTGTGGAGGCTGAGGCAGGAGAATTGTTTGAACCCGGGAGGCAGAGGTTGCAGTGAGCTGTGTTCACACCGCTGCACTCCAGCCTGGGCAACAGAGCGAGACTGGACCTCAAAACAAAAACAAAAAAAAATCAAACACGACCAGGCACGGTCACTCACATTTGTAATCCCTACACTTTGGGATGCCAAGGCAGGTGGGTCACCTGAGGTCAGGAGTTCAAGACCAGCCTGGCCAACATGATGAAACCCTGTCTCTACTAAAAATACAAAAAATTAGCTGGGGGTGGTGGCACGCGCGTAATCCCAAATTGCTTGAACCCAGGAGGCAGAGGTTGCAGTGAGCCAAGATCGTGCCACCGCACTCCAGCCTGGACAACAAGAGCAAAACTCTGTCTCAAAAAAAAAAAAAAGGAGCAGAGTCAGGCGGGGAGGACTACTTTTGGAGGCCTCATGCTCAATTTGAAACAAGCCTCCTGTCCTGCAGGCAATCCCCTGGACTTCCTTCTGGGTGTGTTAAATACATATTTGTACTGGGGCTGTCTCCTCCTACACTGTCAGCATGCACTTCACTGTCATTTCATTGTCTTTAGATTGTTGGTGTGAAACAGAGGATGAGGAGGTACCTTCTGAGCAGAGTGTTTCTGTAGAAAGACTGTCACAAGTTAGGGTTCCCACACCAAGTTCATCTTCCCAGCAGGCCCACTCCTGTGAGATGTGCGGCCCAGTCTTAAAAAACATTGCTCCCCTGGCTGAGCACAAGGGAACACATCGAAGGGAGAAAATGTACATGTATTGGACATGTGAGAAACAATTCTTTTCCAATATAAATCATCAGTGTCAGAAGCAGCACATTGGAGTGAAACCCTTCAGAAGTGAGGTGAACAAAGTGTCATTAGTGAAGAGCTGCACATGCAGTGAGTCTCAGAAGCCCTCTACCTGCAGGGATGTTGGGAAGGACTTCCTGGCCAGCTCAAGATTTCTCCAGCAACTGGCCACTCATACCAGGGAAAAATCAAATAGCAGAACCTTGTGTTGGACTGCCTTTCACAGGAGAAAAATACATTACAACTGCGGAAAGTTCAACAAAGCCTTCAGCTACAAACACATACTTGTTCAGCCTCAGAGAGCCCTCACTAAAGAAAGATGTTACCTGTGCAATGAATGTGGGAAGTCCTTTAGCCATAACTCTAGCCTCATTAAACACCAGAGAGTTCACACTAGAGAAAGGCCTTATAAATGTGGAGAATGCGGTAAGTTCTTTAGCCAAAGCTCAACCCTCTTTCAACATCAGAGAGTTCACACTGGAGAAAGGCCTTATGAGTGCAGGGAATGTGGGAAATCCTTTAACCAAAGCTGTAGCTTCCATAACTATTGAAAAATTCACACTGGAGAAAGACCTTATGAATGCAATGAATGTGGGAAATCCTTTAGCCAAAGGTCTAACCTCATTCAACATCAGAGAATTCACACTGGAGAAAGGCCTTATGAGTGCAGCAAATGTGGGAAATCCTTTAGCTAAAGCTCTGCACTACGGCAACACCATACTGTTCACACTGGAGAAAGACCTTATGAGTGTGGTGAATGTGGAAAATTTTTCACCTACGATTCCAACCAGAAAGTTCACACTGGATTGAAGCCTTATGAGTGCACTGAATATAGGAAATCATTTAGTCATAATTGCAGCCTCACTCTACGTCTGAGAGTTCATACTGGAGAAAGGCCTTATGACTGCAATGAATGTGGGAAATCCTTTAGCCAAAGATCTGCGCTCCTTAAACACCAGAGAGTTCACACTCAATAAAGGCCCTATGAGTGCAGTGAATGTGGGAAAACATTTAGGCAAAGGTCCAACATCAGTGATCATTGGAGAGTTCACACTGGAGAAAGGCATTATGAATGTGGCCAGTGTGGAAAATCTTTTAGCAGAAACTCTGGTCTCTCTCGACACCAGCGAGTTCACACTGGAATAGGGCCCTATGGGTGTGTTGAATATGAGAAAGCCATCCACCAAAGGCCTTACCTCATCAGGTACCACAAAGTTCACATGACAAAAACACCTTCGATGTACTGGGAATGTGCTGTTTCCTTATTCAACATCACAGCATTGGAGGACATCCAGTAAGAGTGTCATCTGCCTGGATTGAACCTCATTCTTTCAGACATCCACATACATTCCAGGTATGTGGGAAGATTTGAGGAATTGTGTTATGCTTTCGAATCTGCGTGGGGCTCTTGCCAGATTTTTATCACTGTTAGGATTGTAGCCCAAGCCATTTGACTTCTACTAGCTGGGTGGAACACACAGTGAGCATCATTGACCTACCTTAATTTGCTGTAAGGAAATGTCTGTGTTCTCCCATTTGTTGGAGGGATTTGTGAGAAGCCTGAGCACTCACTTCTCTCTTTTTTTTTTTTTTTTTGTGACAGAGTCTTACTCTATAACTCAGACTGGAGTGTAGTGTCATGATCTTCAAGAAAGAGCCCAGCATGGAACCCCCATCCCCACATGGGGTGCATTGAGGACCCAGGACCCACCAGCTCGTGGGACTGAGTCCTTCAAATCAAGGCTCTTAAGTGGATGGGGGTGACCTGCTGTGGCCCCAGCTTCTAGCATGACTTCCTGGAGTCAAGGTGTTTGGAAAAGCAGCCCAAAGTGGTGGTGAAATCCATCTAAGGTGAATACCTGTTGGAGACCAACAGTCAAGTATGGGAACGGAAAGATGAACATTACTTTAAGGAGAGAGTTCAGAGAGTGCACATCCCTTACAAGGTAAGAGGTAAGGTCAGAGAAACCAACCCACAGGGAGTGTTGCTATGCTGGCTGCAGGGGGATCTCTCCCAGCCCCAGTTCCACTCTGTCCTGTACCCCTACCCAAATCCAGTTCCTTGGGAGAGGAAAAGTATCTGCTAAGATGTAGGGTTGTTCCTAATGTGGAAGGCCTCCACTGACCACTGGATGCTTGGAGTGGCCCATGCCTTCTGGCCAGCCAGTGTCTCTGACACTATATGGCCTCTGCAGCTTCCATCCAGCTCACAGGCTCCACAGCTGTTCTCTACTGAGCCTTGTAAAGTCTCATTCTACACAAGCTAACTTTCATTTTTCACAATAGACCTAGGCGATCTGGAGTAGATTTTTGCAGCTGTTTTTTGGAACACATCCCAGTCTCTTGCTGGAAGAATTTACAGGAGGAAACTCAGTAAACACTACAAACAAGGACTAGATTTGTCATATTTTTAATAGCCTGGATTTAAGAAAGTCATGGAGAATATGTTAATAATACAGACTAAATCAGATGTGATGGCTTCTACCTGAAATCTCAGCTACTTTGGGAGGCTGAGGCAAGAGGACCACTTGAGCCCAGGAGTTTCTGACCAACCTAGGTGATATAGCAAGACCCTGTGTTAATCCCAGCACTTTGGGAGGCCGAGACGGGCGGATCACGAGGTCAGGAGATCGAGACCATCCTGGCTAACTTGGTGAAACCCCGTCTCTACCAAAAAATACAAAAAACTAGCCGGGCGAGGTGGCGGGCGCCTGTAGTCCCAGCTACTCGGGAGGCTGAGGCAGGAGAATGGCGTGAACCCGGGAGGCGGAGCTTGCAGTGAGCTGAGATCCGGCCACTGCACTCCAGCCTGGGCGACAAAGCGAGACTCCGTCTCAAAAAAATAATAATAATAATAATAATAATAATAATATAGATTAAGTTAAATGTGTATAATGTATGTTATGACTTTGTGCATAACACAAAGAATTTAGGGAAAAAATGAGAAAATGTTCTGCAAGCATTTTTTAAAATTTTATTATTTTTTGAGACAGAGCCTCACTCTGTTGCCCAGACTAGAGTGCAATGAATGGCATTATCTCGGCTCACTGCAACCTCTGACTCCCGGATTCAAGTGATTCTCCTGCCTCAGCTTCCTGAATAGCTGGGATTACAGGCGCCTGCCACCATGCCCAGCTAATTTTTGTATTTTTAGTAGAGATTGGGTTTCACCATGCTGGTCAGTCTTCCTGGTAATACAGGGAGTTCTTCAAGATCTTATCCATGACCACCACAGTGTTACCTCTAGAAGTCTGCAGCAGCCACGGCATTACTGGGCTTGGGGTTGCTCCCTAATGCAAATAGAGCTGCGGTGACCAAAAACTTAGATCACAACACTCAAGCCCCTGTAAATACCTGGAAAACCTTCCCAAGAAGGATGCATGCAAACAAGCCCAGGCTTGTTTGTGAAGACTACAACAGATACCTAACTCTTCAATGTCCAGACACTGATGAATGTCCATAAGCATCAAGACCATCCAGGAAAAAAAGACTTCACCAAATGAACTAAATAAGGAACCAGTGACCAATCCCAGAGAGACAATGATATGTGATCCTGCAGATATAATTCAAAATAACTGTTTTGAGGAAACTTAGTGAAATTCAAGATAACACAGAGAAGGAATTTAGAAGAAATTCCATCTGTCCTATCAGATAAATTTAACAAAGAGATTGAAATAATTAAAAGGATTTTCAAGGCTGGAGTGGTGGCTCACACCTGTAATCCCAGCACTTTGGGAGGCCAAGGCGGGTGGATCACGAGGTCAGGAGATCGAGACCATCCTGGCTAACACGGTGAAACCCCATCTCTACTAAAAATGCAAAAAATTAGCCAGGCGTGGCAGTGGGCACCTGTAGTCCCAGCTACTTGGGAGGCTGAGGCAGGAGAATGGCATGAACCCAGGAGGCAGAGCTTGCAGTGAACCAAGATCGCGCCACCGAACTCCAGCCTGGGCGACTGAGCAAGACTCCGTCTCAAAAAAAAAAAAAAAAAAACAAAAAAGATTTTCAATTCCAGAGTTGAAAAATACAATTGACAGGCTGGGCGCGGTGGCTCATGCCTATAATCCCAGCACTTTGGGAGGCCAAGGCTGGCAGATTACCTGAGGTCAGGAGTTCGAGACCAGCCTGGCCAACAAGGCAAAACCCTGTCTTTACTAAAATTAGAAAAATTAGCTGGGTGTGATGGCGGGCACCTGTAATCCCAGCTACTCCAGAGGCTGAGGCAGGAGAATCGCTTGAACCCTGAAGGTGGAGGTTGCAGTGAGCCAAGATCACGCTATTGCACTCCAGCAACAGAGCGAGAATCCGTCTCAAAGAAAAGAAAAGAAAAATACAACTGACATACTGAATAATGCATCAGGGTCTCTTAAAAGCATATCTGATCCAGCAGAAGAAAGAATTAGTGAGCTTGAAGTCAGGCTACTTGAAAACACAGAGCAGACAAAAAAGAATAAAAAAGAATGAACCATGCCTATGCGATCTAGAAAATAGCCTCAAAAGTGCAAATTTAAGAGTAATTGGCCTTAAACAAGAGGTGGATAGAGATATAAAAGTTGAAAGTTTATTCGGAGATTTTCAAGATGGTTGGCCAGATGCAGCCAGGAGGAACATCTGCCACCAAGGGACCAGAACATTGGGAATACTGGCACACTCATAGCAGATTTTCAGAGGGATGACAGAAGTGCATGGAGGGAAGACACAGATGCTGAGTTGTAGTGGGAGGAAGCTAGGACCCTGAACATGGCTACAACTCACCACTCCCCAAGACTTGTTCCTAGCTCTCAGTGACTCCTAGGGAGGGGGTGAATTGAGCAGGCACAGAGTAACCCACTCTTGCCATTGGCCTCTGGAAACCTGCCAGCAGGAGACTCCATGACCGCAGTGGAGCACAGCCAGACAAGCCCATTCCCCAAGGCTCACCTTGCTCCCCATACAATGAGCATTCCCATACACTAACAACATTGAAGCTGAGACTGAAATCCAGAATGCAATTTCATTCACAATAACCACAAAAAGAATAAAACACCTAGGAATACAGCTAACCAAAGAGGTGAATGATCTCTACGATGAGAATAACAAAATACTGCTCAAAGAAATCAGAGATGACACAAACAAATGGAAAAACATTCCATGCTCATGGATGGGAAGAATCCATATTGTCAAAATGGCCATACTGCCTAAAAAACAATTTAAAGTTCATATGGTGGCAAGACGTGGTGGCTCATGTCTGTAATCCCACCCCTTTGGGAGGCCAAGGTGGGTAGATCTCTTGAGGTCAGGAGTTCTATTGGGGGAAACCCCACCCCCAATATTCAACATGGGTTTTTTTCTATTTCCCTAAGTGTCGGCTAGTCTGAGAAATAAAGGGAAAGAGTACAAAAGAGAGAAATTTTAAAGCTGGGTGTCTGGGGGAGACATCACATCTCAGCAGGTTCCATGATGCTCCCTGAGCCATAAAACCAGCAAGTTTTTATTAGTGATTTTCGAAAGGGAAGGGAGTGTATGAATAGGGTGTGAGTCACAGAGATCACATGCTTCACAAGGTAATAAAATATCACAAAGCAAATAGAGGCAGGGTGAGATCACAGGAGGGGGTGAAATTAAAATTGCTAATGAAGTTTTGGGCACGCATTGTCATTGATAACATCAGGAGACAGAGTTTGAGAGCAGATAACCTGTCTGACCAAAATTTATTAGGTGAGAATTTCTTCATCCTAATAAGCCTGGGAGTGCTGCAGGAGACCGGGGCTTATTTCATTCTTTCGGCTTCGACTGCAAAAGGCAGCCACCCCTAAAGCGGCCATTTCAGAGGCCTGCCCTCAGGGGCCATTCTCTTTCTCAGGGATGTTCCTTGCTGAGAAAAAGAATTCAGCGATATTTCTCCTATTTGCTTTTGAAAGGAGAAATATGGCTCTGTTCTATCTGGCTCACCAGCAGTCAGAGTTTAAGGTTATCTCCCTTGTTCCCTGAACATTACTGTTATCCTGTTCTTTTTTCAAGGTGCCCAGATTTCATATTGTTCAAGCACACATGCTCTACAAACAATTTGTGCAGTTAACGCAATCATCACAGGATTCTGAGGCAACATACATCCTCCTCAGCTAACAAAGATGATGGGATTAAGAGATTAAAGACAGACGTGGGAAATCACAAGGGTATTGATTGGGGAAGTGATAAGTGTCCATGAAATCTTCATAATTTATGTTCAGCGATTGCAGTAAAGACAGGTGTAAGAAATTATAAAAGTATTAATTTGGGGAACTAATAAATGTCCATGAAATCTTCACAATTTATGTTCTTCTGCCACGGCCTCAGCCAGTCCCTCCGTTCGGGGTCTCTGACTTGCTGCAACAGAGTTCAAGACCAGCCTGGCCAACATGTTGAAACCCTGTCTCTACCAAAAAATACAAGAAGTAGCCTGGCATGGTACTGCACACCTGTAGTCCCAGCTAGTCTGGAGGCTGAGGTGGGAGAATCACTTGAACCTGGGAGGCCAAGGTTGCAGTGAGCCAACTTCACACCACTGCACTCCAGTGTGGGCAGCAGAGTGAGACCCTATCTCTAGATTAAATAAATAAATAGATAAATAAATTTTATATGGAACAATAAAAGGCTTAAATAGCCAAAGTGATCCTTGGCAAAAAGAACAAAGCAGGAGGTGTCACAGTACCCAATTTCAAACAATACTGCAAGGCTACAGTAACGAAAACAAAATTGTATTGGTACAAAAACAGACACATAGACCAATGGAACAGAATAGAGAGCCCAGAAATAATGCTGCATACCTACAACCATCTGATCTTTGACAGACTCTACAAAAGCAAGCAATGGGGAAAGGACTCCCTATTCAATAAATGGTGCTGGAATAAATGGCTAGCCATATGCAGAAGATTGAAATTGGACCCTTTCATTACACTGTATACAAAAATCAACTCAGGATGGTTTAAAGAATTAAATGTAAAACCTAAACATATAAACCCCCTAGAAAGAAAACTAAGAAATACTATTCTGGACATAAGGTCTGGCAGTGATTCATGACAAAGACTCCAGAAGCAATTGCAACAAAAACAAAAATGGACAGTTGGGACCTATTTAAACTAAAGAGCTTCTGCACAGCAAAAGAAACTAACCACACAGTAAATAGACAACCAACCGAATGGGAAAAAATATTTACAAACTATGAATCTGACATAGATCTATTATCCAGCATCTATAAGGAACCTAAACAAATTTACAAACAAAAAACAACCCCATTAAAAAGTAGGCAAAGTACATGAACAGACAGTTTTCAGAGGATGACATTCATGTAGCCAACAAGCATATTTAAAAAAAAATGTTCAACATCACTAATTATTGGAGAAATGCTAATCAAAAAAACCCTAATGAGACACCATCTTGCACTAGTCAGAATGACTATCACTAAAAAATCAAAAAAATAACAGATGCTCATGAGGTTATGGAGAAAAGGGAATGCTTATGCACTGCTGGTGGGAATGTAAACTAGTTCAAGTATTGTGGAAAGTAGCTTAGTGATTTCTCAACTACTATTTGATC